TCTACTCAAATTCCTCACTATATCAATAATTATTTCGTTAATGTTGCAAATAACTTAATTAACAATGTCCCCCATCCATTCTATAATTTCATGAATTTCATGGGGCATTCGCACAACACAAATCTATCTTTAAATCCCGTAACCGAATCCGAACTCTTTGAAGTAGTAAATCAACTGAACAACTCTGCCCCCGGTTATGATGGCATCACAGCGCCAATAATTAAATCCACTTTGCCTGTCATTTCCCGTCCCCTGCTCCACTTGTGCAACACTTCACCTACTACGGGTATATACCCAGACAAACTCAAGACAGCAAAGGTTACTCATGTTCACAAATCAGGTTGCAAAACCAATGTTTATAACTACAGACCAGTATCAGTTCTGCCCGTAATAAGTAAAATTCTGGAAAAAATAATCTATATCAGATTGGAAAGTTATCTCATATGCAACAGTATTCTGTCAGATTGCCAATTTGGATTTACGAGGAATAAATCAACAGAAATGGCTGTTATGTCATTTACAAACCATATATACAAGGCCTTTGATAATAATGAATTCACTGTTGCTGTATGCCTAGATTTATCTAAGGCTTTTGATACGGTTAACCACCCAATTCTGCTCTCAAAACTATCTCATTATGGTATCAGGGGCTCTGCAAACCGCTTGTTTCGTTCATATCTGTCTAACAGAAATCAATTTGTTTCATATAATGGATCCGATTCAGATTGCCTTCCATTATCTCATGGTGTACCACAAGGGTCACTGTTAGGGCCTCTTCTTTTCCTGATCTACATCAGTGATTTGGTGAAAACATCCTCGTATCTGGAATTCATCTTATATGCTGATGACAGTAACCTCTATGTTTCAGGTAAAGATATTAATCAACTCATTAGTAACATCAATAGAGAACTCAGCACTATCAGTAATTGGATTTCTTCAAACAAACTAATGCTAAACATTGTTAAATCCCATTATGTCATATTTAATCGCAATAAGAAACTTCCCCCTACACTTCTGCCGTTAATATTAGAACATAAACCCTTGTCAAGGAAAACCGAAACTAAATTTCTCGGAGTAATCATTGATGATAAATTATCGTGGAAAAGTCATACGAACAGTATTCGTCAAAAAATTAATAAACAGTGTGGTATCTTGTACCATACTCGTGATTTTCTCACAATGAATGCCCGTAAATGCATATATTTTTCGTTAATCTATCCACATCTAACATACTGCAATACTGTCTGGGGAGCTGTCAATGAAACAACGCTAAAACCCGTTATAACTGCCCAAAAACGAGTTATCCGAACCATTGCTGGATTAGGCAAATATGACCATACCAATGAGGCATTTTCTATACTGAAACTATTGAAGCTGAGAGATATAAATACCTACTTCTGTGCTCTCTTCATTTTTAAATGTATCAATATATACGAAAATAACTTATTTCGGTTCAGAAATGATTTAAGATATCCTCTCCGATCAAACTCACTATTAAAACACCCAACTATAGGCTCAAACCAATCCAAACATGTATTTTATATCATGGGGTAAGTGTATGGAATGATCTGCCCTCACATCTCCACAATGCTCCGTCACTGCTGTCACTCAAAAAATCGTTGAAGACCCACTTATTACATATGTCAGAGTGAATGCTAATGTTTAGGAATAAGTATATATACAGGTACATAACAGCGGGTATTCATGCATCTGTACGAATGTTTACATAAGTGTACAATGTATCTATGTAATACATGCAAATGCATGTAAGGTTAATATAAGCATATTTGTGTGCGTATATATACATGTGTGTGTGTGAGTGTGTGTATATGTATGTACATGTATATATATGTATATGTGTATGAGTATATTCATATGTATATGTATGTATGTATTTATGTATGTGTATATACATGTTTGTGTATAGGTATATATGTTTATGTGTGTCTGTGTGTATATATATAAACTGTATATGTATGTATGTTTATGTATGTAGGTATGTATATAGGTGTGTATGTGTGTATATATAGATATAATCTTGTGCAATATATTATTTTAGTGTTTTTTTATGAATTAAATATTTTTTTATTACAACTTAGTCCGATATACTAGTCTACTAGTCTGTCCTGTGTTATGCGTATGTGTGTATTTAGACATAATCTTGTGCAATATATTATTTTAGTATTTAGTTTTTTTTTATGAATAGAATTATTCTTTTGTTACAACTTAGTCCGATCTACTAGTCTGTCTTTTGTTATATATAGCATATTGTATATTTTCACCTTTTTACTGTTATCGTCTTCAATCCACCTGCGAGTGGATTGACAGAATCTAAGAATTTAATACACATCAATTCCCTTATAATAAGGTGCCTCCTTAAGAGAACTTGTGTTCTCAGGAGGCTCAGCCATTCTATTGTTATTACCATCATCATTATTGTTATTTCTATTATTATTATTATCATTATTTAATCAATAAACAAGCTATCATTATTATCATAATCATTATCATAAAATAAAATACTAATTATCATTATCATTATTATTTCGTTGTTATTATTGTTATCATCATTACCATTAACATTATTTTGATTACTGTTATCATAATTGTAATTATCATCATCATCAATAACATCATCATCATCATCAATATCATCACCATCATCATTATCAATATCATCATCATCATCATCATCATCATCATCATCATCAGTATCATCACCATCATCATCATCATCATCATCATCATCATCATCATCATCATCATCATCATCATCATCATCATCATTATCCTTATCAATATCATCATCATCATCATCATCATCATCATCATCATCATCATCATCATCATCATCATCATCATCATCATCATCATCATCATCATCATTGTTATTATCACTATTATTGTTATTATTATTATTGTTATTATTACTATTATCGTTATAACAATTACTATCATTATTATCATAATCATTATCATAAAATAAAATACTAATTATCATTATCATTATTATTATTATTATATTATTATTATTATCGTTACTTTTCATTATTATCACTGCTATTACTATTTGTTTCTATTATTATTATTATATTATTATTATTATCGTTACTTTTCATTATTATCACTGCTATTACTATTTGTTTCTATTATTATTATTATCGTTACTTTTCATTATTATCACTGCTATTACTATTTGTTTCTATTATTATTATTATTATTATTATCATTATTTAATCAATAAACAAGCTATCATTATTATCATAATCATTATCATAAAATAAAATACTAATTATCTATATTACTATTATCATCAATTTCATTATTATTATCACTATTATCATTATTATTGTCCGTGTTACCATTATCTGTGATATTTTTAATTATCATTATTATTATTATTATTAATATTGTTATTATTACTATTATTATAATAATGATCATGATTTTTATGTTCATTATTATATTTTTTATTATTTCTATTGTTATTACCATCATCATTATTGTTATTTCTATTATTATTATTATTATTATTATTATCGTTACTTTTCATTATTATCACTGCTATTACTATTTGTTTCTATTATTATTATAAGCATTATTATTATTATTACTATTATCGTTATAACAATTACTATCATTATTATTTTTACTATCATTATTATCATTAATAATAATATTATTATCATGTTTATAATTAGCGTTACTATTATTACCTCCGCCAAGGAGGTTATGTTTTTGACAGCGTTGATTTGTTTGTTAGCAGCCTAGCTCAAAAAGTGCTGGTCGGATTTCATCGAATTTCATCAGAAAGGGACTAACTTAGAACTGATTAAATTTTGGAGACATTCCGAATTACCGTCTGGTTATTATTATTATTATCATTATTTAATCAATAAACAAGCTATCATTATTATCATAATCATTATCATAAAATAAAATACTAATTATCATTATCATTATTATTTCGTTGTTATTATTGTTATCATCATTACCATTAACATTATTTTGATTACTGTTATCATAATTATGATTATCATCATCATCATTATCCTTATCAATATCATCATCATCATCATCATTGTTATTATCGTTATTATTATTATTATTATTATTATTATTATTATTATTACTATTGTTGTTTTATTAAGATTATCATTACTGCTTAATAACAATAATAGTAATAACAATAGTAATATAATAATGATGATGATAACAATTATAGTAACAACAATAACAACAATGATGATGATGATGATAAAACAATGATGATGATGATAATAATGACGTCACAATAGCATTTCTATGAAAACAATGACAGTTGCAGGTACCCATACGATAATCGTAGCTAATGTATGGCCCTTTATTATTATGAAAGGGTATTTATATGTTTAACAGCAAACTATGCATCAGAGGAGTTACAAAGCTTATGCAGTGTGCCAAATATAGACATCGGTATGATAGAATAATGAATGTTTACTTTCGAGCTGCTTGCATTGTGGGCGACGAAAGCCTCCGAGATTCCGAACGTTGTCTTGCTGGCCTGACACGTTGTCTGGACGGCCAAGACGTGGAGTTCCGAACGCAGCATTATAATCATTAATATTATCTTCGCTATTGCTGCTATTATTATAATCATTATTCGTATTATTATTATCATTATCATTATGGTTCAAACGATACTATTCTTTTGGGAAATCTCAGCCAGCACGAGGTTAGAATATATGCACCTTTCATTTTTTGTTAAAATACTACCCTACGAGGTGATCCGAAACTATCAATTAGTCACATTCAATCGTAAGCGCGCATAATGTACACACATTTTATCCGGCCGATGGGCTTCGTTGAGGTGGTTGTTTGCCTCTTGAGGAGGGCGTAACCCTGACAAAAGTTGCAAGGTATTTACAGCACCACTCCGATAGGACTTTGAAAACTGTATATGTTTAACTTAAACATTCAACAACATGAAACTGATCACTCAGAACCGGAATTACACTTACGGCGTCGTAATATCAAGAAAAGTATAAAGAAGTATCACTATCTGTGCCTGTCCACGTGAGGTGCCGCAGGTTACTGAAGTTGCAGTGTTGCCATTGAAAAATTTTCGTCCTAAAAAATCGCTAGATAAGGACTCAAAATGTGCTACATTTCTATCCCCAACATGTCTAAGCACGTTCACTGCCTATTTTTAAAACAAACTAGACGAATTATATAACCATTTGTCCATTACAACATACCCATTACAAAATTCGCAAGTTTGATGCATAACCGTCATCTTCCTAAAGGGAAATAGTAGTTACTGGTAACTATATTTTCTCCCCTGTAGGTTTCTGATGCATCAGTCATACTTCCGACATAAAACATAAAACTAATAGGATACTTACCAGCGATTAACTTTTACCATTTTTCATGTACTCAGCTTAATTTGTACCATGATAAGACATTTACAACAAGTGTTATATATATACACACACACACACACACACACACACACATATATAAATATATATATATATATATATATATTTACATATATATATATACATATATATATAAACATATACATACATATATATACATATATATAAATAAATAAATATATATATATATATATATATATATACATATATATATAAATATATATATACAAATATATACAAATATATATACATATTTATATAAATATATATATACATACATATATATAAATATATATACATACATACATATACATATATATATATATATATATATATATATATATATATATATATATATATATCATGTATTAAAAGTACAAAGTCCATCGTCTCTTTAAAATAAAATCGCTAGAAAATCGCCAGATAGTGTTCTACACCCGTCATATTTCCCGCTAGCATCTAGTCAGAAATCGCTATATCTGGTGGGAAAATAGCTAGAATTGCAAATACGTTCAACGAACAACCGCGAAATTTTAAAAAGAAAAGCGAGCTACATTATTAATTTCTAATAAAAGGTTTGTTGCAACAAGATCAGTATATAATATATTCTTAAAACAAATAAAATTATATAGGGACATACCCACACATACACCCAAAACACACACGTATACTTTTCATACGCATATGCTCTCGGGCATTGCGTGAACACACGGAGATAAGGATAAGTCCGATTTGCGAAGCTGAGCCTCGCCCGGGTTATGAGGGAGCCCGGCCTGTGTCGACTAATGTCGACTCGTTAACAGTGTGTCACAGCTGGTGCTGACCCGGATGAGCTTAGTCCTTACCCGCCGTGGTGCCCAGCCACAGCAGTAACCTCCAGGCGACAATTGCAACATCTCGCACCTGGGCGGGGCGCGAACCGCCGACCCCTCGGATGAAAGGCTGACACGTTACCACTGTACTAGCCCGCAGGCCTCATGGAGATTTTCAACTTTCAAATATATATACTTGGAATGAAATCTCAAAAGGTTTGATATTGTTTGCGAAGGACAAGCAGTACGCATAGGAGCGTACGTAAGTATTATGGGTGACTCATCGTTACAGGATGTTCAGGTGTCACCAGAGAACGAAACGTTTTTAGTTATTATTTTGCATCCAGAATTTTTCTAATCCTAGTATATATTTTTCAGATCCCGGTAACTACGTAAAGTAATAATAAACGTTTTTAGGTGTCTAGACTCTTGCCTAAGCTAACTTGGCTATATAAAAAAAAACACTGAACTCTGACATTTATTGGAATACTTAGTTTGTGTACACCGACTCATGATTATCATAACTTTTTTCGCATTCACTTTCCAAATGAAGAAATTAATTATGTTACAGTCCGTGCGTTCACTTGAGCCTTTCCGCACGATGCGCCTTGCACAGGCCCCAATTGGTCAGAGTGAACTGTTTCGCGAAAACGCCTCTCAGTTGATTACTGTAAACAAACATACCAACATGGCCGACGCTGCTGGGCTTGTTGCGGGAGTTGCTGTCCTTTTAGACGACCCCATTTTAGGCGCAGCTTTAATACAAAACGAGATGAATTGGCAAGTCTTCTTGCATAATGTAACTTGTATATAAAGTTTTGTTTCTTGCATCAAACTGTGTATGTTTGCAAGTAATGCTGCCTTATATTTGTCTGTTTTTTGCACATTTAATTTTCTTTTGAATATAATACTTATTTTCATAGCTCATAAAATATTTGAAAATATATACTGTACCTCTATAAGTACCTGTGATAGATCACATGTATTTATTTCCTTTTCATGCTCCTTGATTTTTATTTTTATTTTGTATATATAACAAATCTTTCAGCATTGTCTTGTATTGATGTGTGTATATTTACATATTTTTACTGAAGGTTTTAAAAACTCAAGGATTGTAAATTGTAAGTCATATTTACCATAATCCATGTCTAATAAAATATATTTTGTTTCACCATTTTTTTTTTTTTTTTTTTTTTTTTTTTTTTTTTTTTTTTTTTACTTGTTGTATTTGGGGGTAAATTAAATGAAATGTATTTATTAAAAATGATAAAAGGTATATATTAAAAACATTTGAAACTTCTGTTTACACTATATCACAATCTGAACTTATCCTGATGTTTAAGTACCTGAGCATGTAGGGTACTGAATCTTCCAAAAGCTAAAGGAAAATAATTTGTTATAACTACCATTACATTCAAATAATTAACAAATAAACATTTCCATTTCAAGGCATGAAGGTATAACAAATGAAAAGATAAACCTTAAACTACAGTACAAAAAAATATTTATATTTCCTGACATTTACAGAACAACTGAGCTAGAGCAATAATAACTTAAATGCAACTTGCCTTTACTTTATATTTATAAAACAAATGCTTTTGCATGCAAAGATTTAACATATAAAGACTTTTATTTTAAGACACAAATGCAAAACAGACAAAACATTAAACCTTAGTCTACTGTAAGGGTATCTCTGGGAAGGGGCCTCTCATGATTGCATCTTCGAAGTGATGATGCCTGTGAAGCGGGTCAAGAGAATAAGGGCCTGGATAGGTGGGCCCTGTTTACCCCATGCAAAAATAAACAAAAAGTATCTGGGTACCCTTATAAGCCCTTAAGGAAGTGTGGGCATCTATGAGGTCGAGTGATGCACTAAAGTATCCCTTCATAAATATATTCACATCCACATCTCTGGTTTGCCGCCGTCTCACTGTAAGATCCATGGGGGGACACACAAAACACTCATTCAGTCTTAACACTGTTTATTAGTCGGAATCCCCTAGGGGAAAACAAAGGAATACATAGTTTCTGATAAAAAAAAATATTTACAATACAATTTGTTTTGGGGAAAATATAAAACACTCTACAGAACTGGTAAAAAGCAAAACTTAATTATAAAAATCACAAATAATAAAACTGAAAAGATAAAGCGAACAAAAAAATAATTCTGGCAGAAGCATTACGGTAAAATAAAACCTGTGGCCAGTCTTCTATAATCATTAAAATACAAAAAAAAATCACAAAACACAATGTAAGGTACAAAGTCATTGCTTGATAATTAACAAGAGAAAGAAAGACACCAAAAACATTTGTGACTACAAATCGAAAACAAACATACGAAGAAACAAACAGGCAAACAAAACTTCTGTGGGCTTAGCAAATAAACTATAAAATGATCTGAGAAATTAATGTAAAAATAGCAAAATTAAAATCATGCTTGGCAAATGAATTAAATTTAAAGAAACAAATAAGAGCGACACTCTGGTAAAAAATAACAATTACTTCTAAAAGACCCGACAAATAAAAATAAGGAAGCGTTAAGCACTGAAAAAAAGAGGAAGTTACTTTAAAATGTACAATAATTTAGATAAAAATGTCAATCTAATGGCCAGAGTGAACATCTAAAAAGGGCATAAAATATGGGGAGTGACAGCCGATCCGTATGTCGTATGTCCTCCAGGATCTTCCTACTTTTCCGTGGCCAGGATTTAGGGCAGGATGTAGGTTAAGGAAGGGAAAGGCTGAGGTAAAAGGAACATGAACAAGGCTTAGGGTAAAGGAAAAAGGAGTGGAAGAAGGAGGAATGGAAGAAAAGAAATACCATCACTAGATAGGCATGGAGGCTTAAGTCTAGGCAGTTCTGAGAGGAAATTTGTTGGGTATAAGGCAAAGACACAGAATAGGAGAGTTACTAGAGAGAGGGAAGAGTAAGAAGACAGTATAGAATAAGAGAATAGGAGAAACGAGCAACTGAAGTAAGACCAAAAAGAACAGATGCTAGGCTAGGCTAAGAGGGGAAGGAAGAGGCACAGAAGCTAGGAGAGGGAAAGGAAGAGATAAAGAGGCTAGGAGAGGGAAAGGAAGGGACACAGAGGCTAGGAGAGGGAAAGGAAAAGACACAGAGGCTAGGAGAGGGAAAGGAAGAGACACAGAGGCTAGGAGAGGGAAAGGAAGAGACACAGAGGCTAGGAGAGGGAAAGGAAGAGACACAGAGACTAGGAGAGGGAAAGGAAGAGACAGAGGCTAGGAGAGGGAAAGGAAGAGACACAGAGGCTAGGAGAGGGAAAAGAAGAGGCACAGAAGCTAGGAGAGGGAAAGGAAGAGACAGAGGCTAGGAGAGGGAAAGGAAGAGACAGAGGCTAGGAGAGGGAAAGGAAGAAACACAGAAGCTAGAAGAGGGAAAGAAAGAGACACAGAAGCTGGGAGAGGGAAAGGAAGAGACACAGAGGCTAGGAGAGGGAAAGGAAGAGACAAAGGCTAGGAGAGGGAAAGGAAGAGACACAGAGGCTAGGAGAGGGAAAGGAAGAGACAGAGGCTAGGAGAGGGAAAGGAAGAAACACAGAAGCTAGAAGAGGGAAAGAAAGAGACACAGAAGCTGGGAGAGGGAAAGGAAGAGACACAGAGGCTAGGAGAGGGAAAGGAAAAGGGGAAGGGTAAGGAATGGGAGGTTAAAAAAAGGGATGCGGGAAGGCAGAGAAGGGAGGCCTGGGGGCCTGACACTACAGCAAAAAATATATATATTTGAACTTTTGGAAAACTCTATATTAAAAGAAACATTCACTTACAACTATAGAATATAAATGTTACCTAGCTTTACCTGAGGTTTACAGAACAAAT